TTTTTTTTTTTTCTTTAGTGTATTTATCTTACACGTAGTATAACAGTATTCCCTGTTATTTGTTATTCTCTTCAATCTTTGTAAGAATTCGTGAAGATTTGCTTTTGGTATTGTACAGTGTCATTTTCTCTCTGTAGCAATCTTTTGAAATTTCGTCGCGGTATTGAAAAAATGAGATTTCTTTTCAGAAATTTAAATTCAGTTCTTTTAGAACGCGTCTTCGTAAATTTTTCAGAAGAGGAAGTTTTAAAAGAGTTCATGTCGGATATATAGATATGACGAATAATAGATTTTCTTTTAATCGGTATGTATTTCCTCCTTTCTTCGTGTCGAAGGATTATTTTATATTTGAAATTTTCTCTTCAATCGATATCTGTTTTATTTTCAAAAATTTAAATAACAAACTCCCTTTTGATTTCTTTAGGATCGAAATATCGATGAGTTGGTCGTGCACGAAATTTACTTTGAATCAGTTTTTCTGTCTTTCTTTCTTTTATTTCCAGTAGCTTTAAATATCAAAGGGGCGAACACGCTCGAGATTTTCTTTAATCGCTGGCCTTTCTCATCTTCAGCAGATTAAATTATCAAGGCGTTGCCTGTGCCAAAAGTTTCAAAGGCTCAGCTACTTTTAAAGGCACCGCTTACTTTGAGAACTTGATTGATTTCATTCACGAAGAATTTACATTTTATAATCGTAAAAACAGGTGTCCGGTCCGTCCAACTTCAAAATTCGCGACTTCAAAGCGGATGTAGAGAACGTTGCCTTCACCTTCAAAGTCAACTTCGAAAAGCTAACATTCCAAGGGAAATATCAGATCGACACAACGGTGCTTTTGCTGAAACTGACAGGCCAGGGAGATATCACTGGAACCTTTAGTAACTATTTCTAAAGAAATTTCTTTAGACATTAATAATACAATAACAATCCTTTTAATATTTTTCAAACGCCAAGACGAAACAATTAGTCCTCCAGCCTTGGAAAAGTTCTATATACTATGAATCTTAAATAGTTTTATAAAAATTCCACTTGGTATATACATTTATTTTTATTTTCAAGCCGACTATGAATCGGACATCGTTCTACGAGCGCGAAAACTGCACAGAAATAACGATGTCTATCTTAATTTTGAGAAGATGAGGATAAAGATCAAAATTGGCAGGGCACACTTATATCTCAGTAATTTGTTCGGCGGTGACACTGTTCTTGGTAAGTCAATTATTACATTAGATACTCTTCTTGCTCAATAAGTTTCAATATTCTAATTACATCTTAGATCCCGGTAATAAGGAATAAAGCTCGTTTTGTCACGAATCATAAATTAGAGAAATTTTCTATTTCTTCGTCTTTCGCGATAATTCGAACATCAATTATTGAAAGCAAAAGATGTTTGAATTGAGAAAAATTTAATAATTATTTATACATATAAGTGAGGGAAAATTGTAAATTTCATTGCTTGCTTTGCGAAATGTTAATTACGTGTTTCTTTTTTTTTTTAATTAGCTGCTGCTACTCACGAGTTGATAAACAATAATAACGACCTGATATTGAACGAAATCACACCAGTGCTGGAAACATCGTTGGCAGAACTTTTCACAGACGTGACCAACAAAATCACAAAGTCCTTCACGTAC